TCTCTCTCTCTCTCTCTCTCGCGCGCGCGCGCGCGCACGCTCTGTCTAATCTCTATCTCCCTCTCTCTCCCTCTCCCTCTCTCTCTCTCTGCGTCTCCCTCTCTCTCTCGTCGAACCGAGCACAGCGATCTCTCGCGGCATGCAAACACCAGGAGGCAGTGCCCCAATGTATCTCCCTCTCTCTCGCAGCGAGCACCACACCGCGAACCTCATACAACGAACCGAAACGTCACGAAGCAGCACCGCCGTTGGGATTGCCGCGCAGACCCGGGTTGGACGGCCAGATAGTCCGCAGCGAGCACCACACCGCGAACGAACCGAAACATCACCAAGCAGCACCGTCGTTGGGATTGCCGCGCGGACCCAGGTTGGACGGCCAGATAGAAGTTTCGGGGAAAAACTTCTATCTGGCCGTCCTGCCCGGGCCCGCTCGACAATCCCAACGGCGGTGACCGGTTCGGCCTGCCCCGACGATCTCACACGGTATCTGTCAAGCCCGCCTGCCGGTCCCACCGCGTTCCCAACAGCGGAAAGCGGGATCTCGCGGGAGCGTTACGCGAGACCCGCTATTGAATTAAAAAGTGTTAAGGAAAAATCAACAACGGAAATTTTGAGTACCCGGGTATTCTAAAATTTACGAAATTGCAAGTTCTATGATTGCATTTCCTAGGCCACAAGATAACGGAAATTGCCATACTCCGATAGACGAGACGTCCAAGAAAAGGAAACAATTTTCGATTGCATAATTAATTCAGTCCTGATCGTGAGATTCATGAACACTAATCCCGTAATTAGATATGCTAATCATGTGATTCAATAGTGCTAATCCATGATTAACCCTGATTATGCAGTTAACCTTAAGGACACAATTAACCCTCATGATGCGATTAATCTTAGTTGCACAATAATCCTTTACGGCACAATTAAGTTAAACTGCAATCAGACTCGCTTTCTTTCCCACTTCGCACTGATGCAGACAGATGGCGAATCACACTGGCGCACAGCGCCCACTCAAAGCTCAGAGATATGGAAGTCGAAAACACAGTTCAGATACAAGCTCGCTTCAACAGGCTATGGCGCATCAGCGCCTGCACAACCCAACTCTCGTCACTCTGTCCAACACCTCTGTTTGCACTCACTCACTCTGGATCACCCTGGATATCCCACACACACACACACACTACTACTAACACCCTCGTCTATCAACTATGGCGGCTATGGCCGCTGTCCCTCACTAGCTATGACTAACTATTCCTTCAGCCCACTTTGTCTTCGGGCTCTCTGCAGACCACCTCGCACAAGTCGCTCGAGCAGCGCTTCCGCATGGCTTACACAGGAATGAATGAATGGCTGGGCGCTGCCTCTTGATTTATACTTCTGTAACTCGTTGGTCTGCCCCTTTCCCATGCCCTTGGTGCACACAGTCTGTTACATCTTCGACGTCACACGGGTCCTACCGGACCTGACTTAGGGCCAGAGGGACACAGTAGGGCCTAAAGGCCCAGACTTGGGGGTACAGCAGGCAGAAAGGCCAGGCTTTTGGACCAGACCGACGGACAGGCCCAAACGACATTCTCGTTTTGGGCCTGGCGGCGCTTTTGAGGCTGCCGCCCGCCGATCGGATCTGAATCGTCAATCTTGACGGTTCAGGTCACGGCCAGGCCTCGCAGCATTGAGGCCGGCCTCGGCCCCACCGGTACTTAACACCGGTTCAGCATCATTCTGAGGCATCGAACACTGGGACGCTGCTCGAGCGCCAGTCGTATCGGTTCGGCAGCAGGAGCAGCGCCAGCGCTATTCTTAGCGCAGCACGGAGGAGCAGCAGCAGCAGCGGCGAGCAAGGAGCCAGGCAGCATCCACCAGCAGCGCGGCGGCCATAGCCACCTTCGACCTGCAGTCGGACACCGCCTCAGCCAGGTACCACGAGGCGAGGGGTTCTTCTCCTCCCTCCACGGCCCCAGGCTCTCTCCTCCTCACCTCCTCCTCCTCTGCCATCTCTTCTCCTTCCTCTTCAGACCTTCTTCTTCTTCTTCTTCTTCTTCTTCTTCTTCAGACTCCATCTTCTTCTTCTTCAGACTGGAGACTTGATACTAGTTGGACAGAGATCAGTGTTGGACTTAGGTGGTAAGAGGCTGTGGTACTTACCGGATTCGAGACTTGGAGATTGTTGGGGTTGATACTCGGCAGCATCACAGATTGGACACAGGCTACATTAGGACTCTGTATCTCCGACATTGGTGACTTATTGTCCACGACATTTTGATCTTGTTCGGTGACATTTTGGACTACCATATCGGTGACCTACTGGTTTCTATCTCGGTGACATCTGGCGTTTGCCTATATCTCCCCCCTCCTTCGTCTCTCCTCCCACCCTCATCCGCGTATGCGTGTACGGGGCCTGAGCATCGTCTATGAATGGCTCAGACCCCACCATCTCACGATTGTTTGTGTGTGGAGTGATATCTGTGTGAGTCAGTCTATGTGAGTCAGTCCATTTATCAGACTTCCGCTGCATACATGCTCATCCTATATTGGTTGATCTCTTGGTTCTGCCCATACTTGTCGAAGTATTCACAAGTATGCAACACAGTCCCACACGGTACTTGCTTGACTGGGCTAGGACTGACTGGGACCGGTACCGCTGACTCAGCAAGGGTGGACTTCACCACTTTCCCACTTGCCTCCAGTCTGCTGTGAGCAACGTTGGAAGGGCCACTTTCGGACCTTCCGGAAGTCTGTGGACTTGGCCCTTTGACACTGTAGCAGCTACGACCTTGACCTTTCAGGACTGTAGTGGCTACGAACTTGGCCTTTCAAAAGAGCTACAGCTACAACTTCTAGAACACACTAAGACCTCTATCCGACAGGTCTACAGATTGAACCCCTACAACCTACGGACCTACGACAGCCTACCAACTGTTGCGAATACACAGGTTACGGGTTCAACTCTCGGGCCCGACACAGGTACTGTACACAGGTAAGGTAAGAACTAGGGATCGAGCCCTGGGATCTGCATTCGCTACTGCTAACAGGTGAATACCGTTTCAAAACCTAATTAATCAATCGAGTTGATCCAGTTTCCTAACTCGTCTGGTCCATCCATCCATTCATCCATCCATCAAGATGGTATCTGTAATGAGCAGATAAAGTTGTTTCTTAGTCTGCTCTGATTCGAAAACTGTTGCATGACTAAAATCGTTTCATAGGCATGCTGCAGATCCAAGGAATCACCCAACGTGAGAACAACACTGCAATGCAGCGGAAGACTGAAAATGTTTGGCACCACTTTCGTTTTTCTCTTTCTTGATCTGTGGAGACAGTCTCCTACGTGGCTGATGACTCAGCTGAAGTTATTGCATAAGTTAGCTAGGTGGTCACAAGTCATTAGACACCTATAACCTCTAGAAGAAAAAGAAAGTACAGATCTGACTCAATGGACTCAATACATGACACAAGCCTGCCTCATCAGTCATGCTATTGGACAAAGCTAGGCAGCGCATGCATAGGAGAATGCTGCCTGGTTGCACACACATGGCGAGGAAGTCACACTGACAAAGGATGGTGCAAGGAGACAGATGAATGGCGAGGAAGGAGAAAAGAGTGGAACTCAATGTATCTGCCAATCAATCATCGTCTCTCTCTCTAAAATCTCCCATGATAGTCTCAATCTGAAGTCATGTCCAAGTCTGGGTGCAGCCCAAAAGACAATAACCAAGTCTCAAATCACTCTCTCTCTCTCTCTCTCTCTCTCTCTCTCTCTCTCTCTCTCTCTCTCTCTCTCTCTCTCTCTCTCTCTGTCTGTGTCACACACACACACACACACACACACACACACACACACAGATGTAGAAGGTGGAGTAAGAGGATGCAGAGAGAAGATGAAGAAGAATCTCTCCTCTCACTCCCTCTCAGTGGAACCAGATACTGACCAGAGAAAGATGTAATCTTGAGCTGTCCAATATCTGACAAGGGCCCTGTGGCCAGTGATGTAGATGCAGTGATGGTGCAACAGGTAAGTCCCCTCCAGCCCAGCCTCCGCTGTCCTCTACTCCGCTATTCCAGTAACATTGATGTGCTAACTCCTCTAATGCTGCTCCTGGAGCAGCACGCTGAAGTGTCCCCAAAACACTGTGTCCCTGTGGCATACTGCGTAGCCACATGGGCCTGCAGGGCCCGTCCCGCATTCTCAGCCTAAAAGACTAGAAATAAGGGCTTACAGGCCCCGTGTCGTTTCAGCCTGAAAGACTGAAAACGAGGGCCTGCAGGCCCTATGTCATTTCAGCCTAAAACAGGGCTTTTCAGTCCTGAGGCTTTTCAGCCTGAAACGGAGGGCCACTTTCGGGCCCTCATAAGATCGACCTGCCCTAACACTCAGGCAAAAAAACAGGGTTTCGGGAACAGGCTATTTTTGGCCTGTTCCCACGACAGCCTCAGCAGGAGCTGCAGCAGCAGCCCCTGACTCCCTTTGGCATTGGCAAGAGCAGCCTCCTGGACTGCCCCGACCTGCAGCTGCAGGCAGTCAGGAGGCAGGCTGAGTAGTACATAGGGAGTTCCCATGCACTTCACGGGTAGGTAGTTGGACAGAAGGCAGGAGTAGTCTTCAGGATTCGGCCGCAGCACTCTGCAGGAGCGCTGCAGGAGTAGCGTAGCGCTGGCAGTAGTCTTCAGCGCTGGGCGCTAGTAGCCGTAGGAGTAGTCTTCAGCGCTGGGCGCTAGTAGCCGTAGGAGTAGTCTTCAGCGCTGGGCGCTAATAGGTGGTAGTAGTAGTGTTGGAGAGAGATGGCTGGCGGAGGCCAGTGAGACTTACCTGTGGCGCCATAGCTCCAGCTCCATCTTCGAGGTACCTGCATCAAGGCGCCAGCTTCACAGGTTAGTACCGGACTGAGAGAGAGAGAGAGAGAGAGTTCTTCTTCTTCCTCTTCTAAGTCCACCATCTCTTCTTCACCCTCTCACTACCTGACTTCTCAGTATCAGCGGACTACGACAGAGAGAGAGAGTTGTGACTTGAGACTTGACGACATTGGATCCAGACTCGACATTGGGATTCAGACATTTTAACGAGGGACTATTTGGGCCTGTGCCGAAGACTTGGTGTTGACGACATTCCCATCTTCCCCTCTTCTTCGTGTAACCCCCCTCTTCTTCGTCTGTGTATGGTTGGGGCTGGCGCATTCTTTGAGCGCCAGACCCCTTCACACCATGGAGTGATGATGATGATGTATGTTCGGGGCTGCATTGCAATATTGATTGTTCGGATCATTGGTATCTAAGTCTTCCACTACGCTATCTTGTACTTTGTGAGAGAGGTCGGTTCTTGTTCTGGTCTGCACCGTTACAGTATGCAACAGTTTGGTATCGGAGCGGACCTCTCATTCAGAGGACCCGCTCAATCAAGTAGCCAGCTTGCTTGATCTATTGATTACTCATTAGTAAATCAAGTAGGACTTCGTCAAATCTCTGAAAAAAAAAATTCTCGCAACAAATATCTGAAAATTTCTGACAATCGCATTTCGTTTTACCTGAAATTTCTGGTATTAGTATTTCGTTTTCACGCAACAAATATCTGAAAATTCCTGATAAATTGTGATAATCGCATTTCGTTTTATCTGAAAATTCCTGATAGTAGCATTTCGTTTCTCTGATATTTGCATACATAATAGCTGAAATTTCTGATGTTAACATTTCGTTTTCTAGGCATATTAGGATAACGATAGAAGTGGTCATATTCTCGGAAACCGGATTTATTCTTTTCTGAAAATTGAATCTCCATTCTATCTCGCAAATTTTTTTTGAAAACCGAAATCTTGCAAAGCCTACCAGCATTTTGTTAGGCATATTAGGAGGTTGCCATATTCTCAGAAACTGGATTTAGTTCTTTTCTGAAAAATCGCATCTCTACTCTATTTCGCAAATTTTTTTTTTTCAAGATCGCATTTTTGTAAAAGCCGAAACTTTGCAGAACCTAGCCTAGATCTCGCTCATAGTACTCTTCTGACATGCCTCACTCATAACAGATCGACAGATATACAAAAAAAAAAAAGAAAAAACAAAGGAAGTAGTCCTCTTCTTTTTATTTTTTTTATTTATTTCTGTTGATTAGGGCCGGGAGGAAAGTATTTTTGGGTTGGTTACCTACCTGCGTTTTCCCTCCCACCCACCCCTTTGCATGCATTTCCGGGTTGGTACAGTGCCACGTCAGCAACAGTGCCATGTCAGCAGTGCCACGTCAGCAACAGTGCCATATCAGCAGTGCCTCGTCAGCAGTGCCACATCAGCAGTGCCACGTCAGCAACAGTGCCATGTCAGCAACAGTGCCATGTAAGCAGTGCCACGTCAGCAGTGCCACGTCAGCAGTGCCCCGCCACCATGACGGGCTCAGCTCTGGGCATGCCAGGCCAACTGGCCAACGAGTCCATTGCCGAGTACAAACAGCGGTTCCAGACTCAGCTCGCACTGATCAAGGCTGAGGAACAGCGCCAGGTGGCAGCCGAGGCTGTCTGCCTACAGGCTGAAGTGGCGGCAACAGCTGAGAAGCAGCGACTTCAAGCCGAGGCTGAAGCAGATACCCAGGCACGCCGCAAGGAGGCCCTGGATCTGCTACAGCGGCATGAAGCCACCAGCATAGAAAAGCTCAAGTTTTGGCACTTTGAACCATCTGAGGAGCACGACGACGCGACTCCGGAGGAGCAGCACAAGGAATTCATGGCCAAACTCGTGACTAGGTTGGTTTACACTTGTAACCACCTGCAGTCCGAGCTGGTGAACCTCCGGCGGGCCGTACGAAACCACAAGGTTCAGCACGAGGATGCAGCACGGGCACTCGATTCCCGTGTACAGGACTTGGAGCAAACTGCACCAAGACCGGAGGCCGGCGAGTCCAGCAATGCACCCTCTGCCCGCCAACAGGAGGAACGAGTTGACCACGTAGTCGCAATGCTCGGCGACATCAGTACCTTCGCTGCACCAGCCACCACCAGCAACCAGCTGGACACCATGAAGACCGAGGTTCAGCAACTGCAGCTGCCTAACAAAGATGGCAACACCACTCAGCATTACAAGATGCCGACATTCCAAATCGAGAAGTTCGATGATTATACGCATCAAGACCCAGTCCTCTAGTGGGAGGGCTTTACAATGCAACTTTGGATTCTGTTCGTCGCCAAGCACGCGTACATCGACGCGCTGTTCCTCAACTCAAAGGGGGGATGCCAGATCTGGTTGAGCCACCTGGCAACCGTCCACGGCGTCGACGTCGCAGATCTGAAAGATAAGATCTCTTGGGAAGAGTTAACATGGCTATGGAAGAAGCGGTTCATCGTGGACGACGCCCCGACGCTCGCCATCAACCGCCTCTTCGCTATAACGCAAGGCAACACATCGACACGTGACGGGCTCACGGAATGGCAAAAGATCGCGGCAACGCCCGATCTTGACTTGCCATTTTCGCATCTGTGCCGCGAGTTCTACAACCGGTCATGTGCCGCCTTGAGCCTTGCACTTGGTGATCGCGAGCAATACGCGACCTTCGCCGAAATCATCGACAAGGCAAGGGAGATCATCAAGACCAATAGGGCAGCTGCACACGAGAAATCAGCATGGCAGCCAACCTATGTGGAGAAGGTGAAAACTGGTCCGCGGCCGCAGCATGTCGCTGTAGTCCAATCGGACAACATTATGGAAGACCCGACAACCACCTAAGCATCACGTGAGGGAGATCAGGTGGCTGCTGTCCAGCCGCGAAGCAACAACAAGTCCCGAGGGAACGGGAAGGCGAAAACCGCATCGTCGGCCGGAAACGGACAGCCCGCACCATGGGTCAAGTTTCACTTGCCCGGATCAAGGCAAGGAGGATGTTCGGCCTCGTATCAACTCGGGAAACTGAGTTTCGCGGGAGGTGAGGTGACTCCACCTCTCACTCCGCCAGATTCGGCCGCCTTGCTAGCGGCCTCCTACACATCTGGGGAGGATGCGAATGTCGCAAGTTCTCGGTACACTTACGAGGACTATGTTGTCCACTTGGTCCCACCGTTGGACCAACCGCTCCACGTGCAACAATCTACCGCATGCACGGTTTCACTACCATCGGCAACCGAGTCGGCAACTTCGCCGCCATCTATAGCCGGGGATTCGACGATATGGTCAAGACTTGAAGAGCTCGACCCGTTGACGTTTGCGGACTTCCAATGGATGCCCCTTCCCCGCTCCGGTCGATTGCCGAAACCGCATAGCAACGTGCTCATGGCACAATTGCCGGATTACTTGCACACTGCAGTACCAACTTCGTTGATGGACGCCGGAGTAGAGGTTGTCGACCTTCACAATTACATTGCGAAGATCGACCGCGAGTTCAGGACACAACGGTACGACGACATCGACGCACCATTGTTATATGTACGCATTCAGATCGGAGAGGCGACCTGCAGCGCTTTGATCGATTGCGGAGCATCTCGCAACTACATGAGCCAGGACTTTATGGTACGCGTCGGCCTTGGCCCACACGTCCGGAGGAAGTCCCAGCCTGCGTAAGTCACGTTGGCAGATGGTCACACGCACAAGTCAATAGACGGTGCATAGATGACATCCCCGTGTACTTTGCCCCGCATACAAGCGAGGCGGTGTCCTTCGATATTTTGGACACCAAATTCGACATGATCTTGGGCATGTCATGTGTAGCGGACCCACCACGTGTGGTGCTCCGCTAGTGATAGAGATGGAGATGGAGGAAGAAGGGGGGAGCAAGATGCACAGCGCAGCTCCCCACGCAAGACTCCACCACACGTACTCCAAATGTGCCAGTGTAGAATGAGGACGAAAACAGACAACTGCTGGGGCATACCCCAGCGGACTGACGGGACTGGAGTGGACTGGCTGGTACCGACAGAGGTACCGGCCTGGACTGGACTGGACTGCCCCCGAGTAGAACACAGGCCTGTGAGAACAGGCCAAGGGGCTGGTCTCACAGGCCAACCAGAGGTCCGCTACACGATCCTCAGCCTGTGATGGATCGCCTACATGCAAACACGCTTCCGCCAAGAAGCGGAACTCTACCAAAGAAAAAGAAAACCTTAGTAGTCTAGGATGCGGAGCAAGCTCCATGTTGAGTCCATGCGATGCAACCTAGGATAAAAAATGTCACAAAACAACAATGCCACAGCTAACAGCCTAAGTGAAAGCAAAAGCAACTAACTAGCATACATGTCCTAGGAAAGCAGAAGCAACTAACTAGCATACATGTCCTAGGAAAGCAGAAACTAGAATGTTGGAGGCAGTAGCCTCAGTCTGGGAACAATTGACTAGTGTATAAGTCCTAAGAACAACAAAAGCAGAACAACTAAATCCTAGAAATGTCAGAGGCAGTAGCCTCAGTCTGAGAGCAACAAAGCAACAACAAGTCAACCATATGTCACAGGAGAAGTGTGTCGCAAACCAAAGGGTGGGATGGTCTCTGAGGGTGGCGAATGCAGCCTAGGGGTCGAAAACTCCTAAGGGCATCCACACGTAGTAACAGGGGAACCACAAGTCATTAGGCTCAATGAGGGTAGGGAACTGGGAGTGAACAGAACCAATGACCCTAATAGATAGACCATCAGGGCGGGTAATGCTCGACTAAGGGGTGACCGCTATGGAGGGTCGACCATGCAAGGGAACAAGGGAGCCTGGTATACTGGGCGCACCTAGACGAAGCATGCGGGGCTGCCTAACTAGGGCGTGAGGGCCGACAAAGGGTAGAAAGATGATGGGTAAGGGAATCATGCAAATGACTCCTAAAGTGAGGGAAGTCGGAGCTAGATCCGTAAGATGGGAAGCCAGGGCAACGCTGCGGTCCCGATGCCTATGCGTATACCAAGGGAGAGCCCAACTCAGAGGAACCCGGCTAAAGGGAGACCATCATGCGACACAAGCAGGGTACTGTACAGGGTAAAGTGGTAAGAGAGTGGCGACGTCTGAAGTAGGCAGAGCTGATCGTGACGAACTCCATGAAGCTGCCGATGACGTCCACGATGAGAAGTCTGGAATGCCGTCGAGGAAGAGCCGCAACGTCGACAAGCTGAAGTGGCAAAACTGATGGATGGAGTACTGAGAAGTCAAAGACGTGGGAAGGTAAGTCAGAGTCAATCGTCGTATCGAGCAGGAAGACGACGAGTGCGCTGTGGACGCTCATAAGCATCCGGCTGCTGCTGAAGGTCTGCCTCAGATGGAGCAGGCTCGACTTCAGCGGTCTCCTCAGCCGTGGGAGAAGGAGGAGGGTCAGTGGGCTGAGGAGGAGCAGTGAACCCAGCACGCCGAGCACGGTCATAGGCACGCACCAACATGCGAGCGTGCTGCAAGTGCTCGAGGGGCTCCTAGGTAGCCTCCTCGTCAGGGTAACTCTTCCAATGTACGAGATACTCGACGTGAGGAGGGTTGTCGTCGGTGACTCGGCGACCAATGATGTCTGAAACGAGGAATTCCTCGTGGCCGTCCACCATGATGGGTGGAGGGCGCTCGTATGGTCGTTCAGCGAAACGCTTAGACGGTCTGCGGTAGGGACGCAGTAACGAGACGTGGTAGACATCGTGCACACAAGCCTGGCGTAGGTAGTCGGGCAGCTTCACACGGAAGCTGACCGGGCTAGATACCGTATCAGAACCGACGGCCTGGAGAATGCGGCATGGACCAAAGAAGCGACGCCGAAACTTGCGAAGCGTGTCCGCTTCGAGCTGTAAGTGGCGGGCGTCGATAAGCACATCATCACCGACTTTGAATGGATGGTCCATCCTCGATCGGTTTGCATATGCTGCCATGCGAGTCTGGGAAGCGGCTATGTGCTCATGTGCGGTATTTCATGATCGACGTCATGTGTGCAACCCAATCATCCAGTGCGGGACAACTCGTGGCAGGGTGCATCTGTGACGGTCGAAGGAAGTCCGCGGGAACACGAGGGTGATAACCGAGGTCGCAATAGTAAGGTGACATCCCCGTGGCTGGCGAGACGGTGTGGTTGTAGGCTATCTCCGCGTGGGCAAGATGGAGGTCCCATTGTTGGTCGTCACGAACAATCTTTCGGAGAATATCTCCGAGAATCCTGTTCGTGATCTCGGTCTGACCATCAGTCTGAGGATGGTAAGATGAGGAAAAGCGGAGCTGACTGCCGTACACCTCGTGGAACCGTCGCCAGAATCGGCTGGTAAAGCGCGGGTCACGGTCAGATATGATGCTCAAAGGTAAGTCGTGGTCACGCACGACTCGATCAAACACGATGTCGGCGACCTCACGTGCACTGATGGCATAGCGGCACGGAACAAAGCGTGCACGCTTCGTGAAGCGGTCGACGACGACCAGGATAGCATCATGACCGCGGGGGTCGGAGGACGAAGTGGACCGATAAAGTCCATCGAGATGGACTGCCAACGACCCTCAGGGATAGGAAGAGGCTGGAGCAAACCATAAGGAAGGTGGTTCGCACTGTTCACCTCCTGACAGGTGGGACACTCTGCGACGTAGTCCTTCACAAAGTCCTTGCGCTTCGGCCAGACGTACAGGCGGCTCACACGAGCCAACGTCTTGTGGAAGCCCATATGACCGGCGGCTGCCTGGTCATGGAACTCTGCTACTCCTCGGACACGTACCTGTCCAATGGAGGGAACGCAAATACGGGGCTCTCTGGTGCCCTGTGAACCGTGCCAGTACACAAGACCGTTGTCCCTGAGAGAGTAGTTCGGGACGGCCTTGCCACTCCGAAGGGTCGCGTGGATGTCGCGATAGTCGGGGCAGTGGCGGTACTGAGTGGGAAACTCATCGATCACCGAGTGGTGGACAGTGGTGACCGAGATGGAAGAGAGTTGGATCTGCTCCTGGTTGTGGTCAGGGCGCCGGGATACGGCATCGGCGACCTGATTAGTCTCACCCTTGATGTGCTCAGTGGTGAAACTAAACTC